AACGGGTTTTTGGAGGAGCCACCCGACAGTTCCTCGGCAGGTCACTGTGCGGTGCGGTGCGCGCGGTGTGTGTGGCAGCGTGCGGGCAAGCAATCTGCAGTACGTCCGAAGGCAGATGGGTGGTCGGGATCCGGAGTCGTAGGCGGGTGGGTGCGTGGGTTCAAAAGAAGAAAATAGGGGTGAGTTGTAATATCAAAGATCCTCGATTATAGTCGGCAATGCGCGTCTGGTTTGGCTTGTAGTGCAGCGCGGTGTCCTTTTCTCCTGCTTTGATCCGACGTCAGCTCGAAAAAAGCATCCCTTGGGCTTTGAGGGGATGAATTGGTTTGGGGGGGACGAATTGATTATCGGATAATGGATTGGGTCCAAATCATCCAATTCAGGGGGAGATTGCTGGTCTGCCGGGAAGCGAGTAGTTTGGCTAGGTGGCTAGGAATTTTTGGGTGGTAGAGTGGTGGATCTGGGGTCCACGCACCATCCACGACTTGCGAGGATGAAGGGGTTTGGCTGCTTGGGTTTGGAGACTTTGGACAGGATTGGGCGGGCACTCGACCAAAAGGCTGGATGATGCCGACGACTGGACGAACGCGCGACAACCGAGCCAAGTAGCTGTCTGAAGAGTGGGCCAGAAAAGGAAATGCAAGCTCACCTTCTCTCTTGGCCTGGGTCTGGCCTTTTTTGTTTCCTTTTCTTGCTCAGTCCACGTCCGTGTCAGAGGTACGGAACAACGTCGTCTCTCTCACAAGAGAGCGGTTTGACGAGTTAATAAGTCGATGCTCGGTATTTCAATCCGTGCGATCGCGATAACCCAAAAACGATCCGGGGACAGTGTCTAGATCAGTGATGATGTTTGACAGCTCGTACAGTCGCTAGCTGGTATTGCCGTGTGACACGGGCTCGGTGTGCCTGCAACACGGACCCGGGTTGACCCAACTTCTGGGTCGCTTTGATGCCTTGATAAGGATGCCCGTGTCTCTGCGAAGCGAGAGATGACGACAGAAAACAGAAGGTAGTGTAGTTTTGGCTGAATAGGGAGGTGATGGTGACACTGTTCCTAGTCGTGTTCGGATGCTTAGAGAATGCGGGTGATCTCTGAATATGAGATGCGAAGTCGGATGAGATGGTGAGTCGAGATGAAGGCAGATGGATGCGAGAACGGACGAGAAGTTGGAGCGAGAGACGAGAGATGCTGCTTGAGAGTTCGTTCAGCTCGAGAGTGTGTTGGCGAAAGAGAAAGAAAAACGAGGGACGGGTGCGAGGCAGTGGAAAGTCCCGTGAGGCAAGTAAGGCCAATGGTCCACTCGTCGAAGAGGGGGAGGAGCTGTGAGGCGGAAGAGGAAGGAGGTCCCGTTGAAGGAAAGAACAAAGGAAGGAAGGCGCAAGGCTTAAGTTCTGAGGCTTGGTGTGAAAGAGCAGGAGGCAGGAGGCACTCCACGAGTCGTTGAGCAGGGCAGGTGCACCTCAGGCAAAATATTTGTGTATCCGTCCGTAGCTTTTGAACGGGAAGGAAGGGAATAATCGAGTAGGAGGAAAGAAGGAAGCCACGGCCAAGGTAGGTAGGTACCTTTTAGCTAAGGAAGGTGAGGTGGGTGAGCTGAGGAGGGGCAGGCAAGAGCGATAGTTTATTAGTATTAGTCGACTCTGATACCTCTTTCCTTTTCGTCGTTTGGGGAAAGAGGGCACAAACAATGAGAATGGGAAAGAGTCAACTGGAGTAGAAACGAGAAAAAGTGAGAAAGAGAAGAAGAGGAGAACCAAGAGCAATTAGGAAACGGAAAGAAACAGAACGTGGACAATGCAGCAAGAAACATCCCAACGACCTAACGACGCCCTCCCGATCCCCGCGCATTCCACCCGTTCCGATCGCCTCCTCCTCTCTGTCTCTCTCTCTCTCTCTCCATTTCGACATCCATGGATGTCATCCCCATCACCCATCACCCTCATCTGCCAGCGGCACCTGAACTCGACCAGGTCCTGGTCCTGGTCTGGCACAGGCACATGAGCCACTCCATCTCAATCTAAGCCGCCCACACCACACCATCCGAACCTATCCGTATGAATAGCTTATTATCTTGTAAGCTTACCTTTTTTTTCTCTTTCTCTCAGGGACACCATACAAAGACGAGGGAACGCTGACGACGGCAGATACGGTTGGCTGGGAAGACGCCTCCTCCGACTTGGGGCCCTTCAGCCCGGGTCTGTGGCTGCATCGTGGGCGGTGAGCATCTTCATGCCTCTACCATTATGTCACCACTGTGTCCACTGGACTTTCATTACCAGGTGGATAAACACTTCCTGTTTCCTGATCCGTACTTCAGCCACTTCTATTACTACCTGTACCTTCATCACAACTTCTACTTCCAGCACCGGTCCTTCCAGTTGGCTCTTCGAGTACATCGCGTAGAGAATACGGATATACTCAAAGCATTATAGTGAGACTGTGACAAAGACAGCTGTGTCAAGCGAGGAGAGCAGTGGCAACATGAGAAAGGGGCTGACTATCTGTTGACTGGCGGATTATTTCTAACCCTCACTGAGAGCAACGCGCTTGTTCAAACAGAATACCTTACCTCGACCTCATGACCTTCACGGCCCTTCCTTGCCCTGTCGTGGCCTACAAGTATGAACGCTAACTATCTTCCATCATCTCCCGTAGGACACACGGCTCCCCAGCTGAACCGGGCTGCAACGGCGGGATTTTGTTTCTTCTCATTTCCATCTCGCCATTCCGACCCAGATGTAATAGATCCATCACCAAGCTTCCGACCAAATCATGGTGCAAATGGCCACCGCTGCTCTGCAAATCTGCCGCTCTACGCTCGAACAAGTATCGCGGCATGGGGTCTTTGGAAACACTAGCCATGACCAACGCGGGAGTGATGTTCCTCGGCCGACCGGGGTGCAGACGAGACGTGCCGACGACACACCCCAGGACCCCTAATAATCCTAATTATTTTAAACTAAGGTAATTCAACAAATTGCTCTACAGTTGAATGACAGGGTGCAATGCGCCTAGACTCGCCTCCGATGGAGTTCCGCAGAACATGCCGGCCACGAATAACTGAGAGATGAGCATCATCTGCATCTGCGACATGCACTCGTCCTCCAACAAACGATGAAGTGCGCGTGGGAACAAAACGGACGAGCCGGAACAGACAACAAGCCAAATTGTGTGGGTGCTGGAGCCATCTGGCCGACAATGCTTCGGTCGTTTCCCTCTCCACCGGGTTCACAGCCATCCAACTCATACCTTATGCACACATACCGGCTACTACCGACGGGCCTTCTTGGAGCTACGGACACCTTGACTTGGCCCTGTGTCTGTCAGGTACTTGTGGCATGTACCTGACATCAGCCAGGGTCAGACTTGTCTGTCCATCCTCCCGTGCGTGCTCCTCCACTCGGACTGTCGGCTTCTTGTTACGTGGTTCCTATCTCTTTTTCCTTTGACCAGAGAGCTCATAGATGCAATAAACAGAACCACCTTCTTCCCGACAAAGCCGTACGTCTGCCTGCGAACGTATGTCCTTGACGACAAAGTCCACAACCCGGCTATGACACCACCACTGAAATCTTCACCTGGGATCAAGATGAGGGATGGAGCTGTTCGTCCGCCCTGGCCCTGGTCTCTCTAGCAGCTGGACAAGACGGAATCACAAGGGTAGCACAGGGGCCTATTTTGTTGCAACCTGCCGCCCTTCCAAATTCGCTGGATTGCAACCTCGTGTTAGGGGCCCCTGGTCGTCTCAACCATGCCAAGGGAACATGGGGTACATCTGAGTACTTTGTTATCGAAGAAAGTTAATTCTTTCTAAGTTATAAGTATAAGAATATAATTTTAATAAAATAGTATAGTACTTACTTAGTACTTAAATTAAGATACTTTTTTAAACTTATTATAAAAAAAAATAACTATATTACTAACTACTTACTATCGAGGTTTATAAATAGTATTATAGTTTTAACTATAATAGCTTTACTTATAATAAATAAAAAATCTAATTATAAGTTCTTTAAAAGCCTTTAATTAAGAGCTATAAAAGCCTTTAAATTAAGTTAAAATACTTATTAAAATACTAATAACTAAACTAACTTTATAATAACGACTTTAATAAAAAACTTAGTAAATAATATTAGAATCTTTATTAATATTAAGTACGATTTACGAAGTATAGTAACGTAGCCATAAAGTATTATTAATATATTTTATATTAAAAAAGGTATTATTAATATTAATAAAATAGATAGGGCCGTATTAATATAGTACCTTAGCTTCTTTTTATAACTCGAGGATAATTATTTTAAATAAAATTAGAAATTTATTAAAAAGCTTTTTTAAATATTTTAATATATTTATTACTATTTTTATAATAATAAAACTCCTAGTATTTATATATAAGAATAAGTTATTTATTTTTAAATAGTAATATTAGTTTATTAATAAGCTATCGAAACTACGATTCTAGCGATCTTTTAATAAGGGAGAGGGTAGAATAGAGAAAAAAATAGGTAACTTATGAAAAAGGTTAAGGTTAAATAGTGTAGAATTTAAGGGTAGGGTAGTATCTATATATACTGTAGCAATCCTCTAGTAATGCCAAACGATGGAGTTAAACAGTGGCATGGGGTGCATCAATTTAAACGTCAGGGCAGCAGCCAGACTTCAGACTCCAGGAGTCCAGAGTGTCCGAATCTCGAAAGCTCTCTGCCACCAGCCTCGGCGCCGCGCCATTGACGCTGCTGACAGTGCCAGCCAGCCCAATTCTAAGTCTATTGCCGTTGCACACACTCGAGCCCGTCTCCCGCCTGACGCGTGACACTTCCAGCCCGTTGTTGGCTGGTCTCCCCGCAGGGCCCGGCCATCGAGGTGGCGCCCAATAGTCACTCGCCATCGGACAATTCACTTTGTCTTTCGATCTCAGCTGTCATCCGAGCGCCATAACCTCCCACTGCTCCAATGTATCGAGGGAAGCCTGGAGACTAAATGGTTACCCTCACGCATGGAGGCCGAACGGCGAAAACAGATCCGCATTGTTCAGATTGTGATAAGAGCACCGTCGTGTATCCGTACGGGGTACAGTGTGGTGTTTGCGAAAGTCGAGATCGACACGATCACTCACTCAGCAACCAGCGTACGGAGTAGAGGTGCTTGCCGTATTGCCTTGCCAAGCCTCGGGCTGGATAACCAAACGGGCAGATGGCGCTGCCCGAAGAGGGAGACGAAACGCCCTCCAATCTCAGCCTCGGACGATCTGATTCGATCAGCCCCCAAATCTGACTCTCCTGGCAAACCGTAACGAGTTCTACGCTTCTTCTAGCCACCTGGAAGCAGAAATATGGCAGACTGAAAACATCGACCGTATTCGCCCATGATGTTATCGCAAATATCCAGCAATACCGTTCTTCACTTGGAGTGAGCTTGAAACCTCGTTTGACGTTGACGTTTGCAGCCTGCGGCCTCCTTTTTCCCTTCTTGGTTTTTTGTTTTGCTTTTCTTCATCTCACCCACATTGCGTCTTGATCGGATCGGGGAGCCGCCTTCCACCGTCACGGTCCTCCTAACAAGACTCAAGTCTCAGGGAAAGCGTGACAGCATCATCCTGGATTCTCATCGCCAATCTGAAACGTAAGCGAGCCTTCCATAGGCGAGAGCATTGGAGCAAAATCTTTTTGATGGGGCTTGTTCATATGAGCAGACGATCATGGGGAATTTGATTAATATCTGCAAAGTACGGATACAACAGCACTACGGATATAGCTGCACCAGCCGCACCTGGGATAGTGACCCCACAAGAGAATGGGTGAGGTACGCATGGGTCCGGTCTGCGTAGTGCAAAAGCTCGATCTTCCAGAGATTGCTCTAGGCCCAGCGGGGGCCAGCGCGATTCTTACTTCTTCTTTCCGTCTGTCTCCATCACGGATGGGCTGTCAGCCTGCCACGAAAGGATGGCGATAGGCGACTCTCATTGGGTCTCCTATTCTTAATTTCTTAGAAGTCACAGACTCATCCTCAGAGTCACAACTGCGATCCCGGGCCAGGAGGCAGACTCGCTGGGTAAACCTCTTCCGCCACATTGACCTTCGGGAATTGCGGGGATACAATCAGGGCATTCGTTCGTCTCAACTGCGGCTTTCTTCACGGTGACCGCCTTCCGGTCTTAGCCCTTCAGCCCACTAATGCCCGCAGAGCCTGAGTCTGAGCCCAACTTTGCCAGAAAGCACTGGACGACACTGGAACAGACCTGCTCCCTGTACGGACATACACTATGTACATAGTAGACGGATATGCACGTCACGGTCCCTCGCAAAACCCGGATCCTCTTGCGCTCACTCAACCCGACTCAGCATCCATGAAGCCTGTTCAAATCCTACAGGAATCACCTTGTCTGCACGAGTAGGGACGAAGTCTGGACAACGGGTGTTCCGTGTCCAACGTCTCTTGCGCATTGGCGGACCACCGATGTGATCTCTCGCTTTGGTGAAAGAAGATACATTCCAAGCTATCACCAAGGGAGATGGAGCGGTGTTGAGAGCTCTTTGCCAAGAACCGGTTCAGCCGTACCGATGTCACCTATGAAGGCGTATGTCAGTTAAGAGGGTCCTGTCCACCAGCAGGTGTCACCGCTCATCGGTACTTACGCGGACCTCTCGGCGCCCAGTACTCGCCCGTCTTGGAAATATCGAGCTTTGTTGTCCATTTGATGAGACTCTCGGCGGCTTCGTCGGGGGTGACGGCTGCGACACTCAGACGTTAATGATCCTTATGAAACTCACCGGGCCGCCTACGCCCTCAATGATATGAAGTACTTACCACCGCCCTCGTCCCAGTACTTGTCGAATCCCACGCCTTTGGTCATCTCAGTACGCATGAAACCCGGGTGCACGATACTGATGATGACGCCCTTGTCCTTCAAATCGAGACTCAACAGCTTGCCCACCATGTTCACTGCGGCCTTGGATGCGTGGTGGGCATAGTTGCCGCCGCCCTCCTTCTCGTGTCGGAGGGTGATGCTCCCGGACTCGGACGAGACGAGCACAACCTTGGAGTCCTTCTGGAGAAGACCGGCGTGCGTGAGCGCGTGGACGATGAAGACCGGGGCGATGGAGCTCGTTGTGTACATGCGCTGCTCCTCGGCCCAGTTCGGACCCTTTTCGGTGCTGAAGTCCTCCGTCGCGAAGTAGCCTGCCGTGATGATCTACCTCCCCGCCAGCTATTCAACACACTCTCCGGCAGCAGCAGGACGGGTGCATAAGAGGGAGCCACTTACCACCGTCGAGAGCGGCTTCGAACCACCGAGCACACTGACTAGGGTCTTGCCGACATTCTCGTCCATCAAGTCGATACCTGGGAGCCACTTTACGGCATCGGGGAAGCCTTCGGGTCCTTCTTCGGAACGCGTGGTGCCGTAGACGGTGTTGCCCGCGTCAGCGGCATACTGTTTGACGAGGGACGCCCCGAGGCCTCGCGTGCCGCCAACGACTAACACAGGAGACATGATGGTCTGGCACTTGTAACCTGTTTATCTTTGGAACTCGTATCTGCTGGTATTTGTGTTCTATTTTCGTTTTATTCCGGGCTCACTCTCAAACACTGCTGGAATGCGGCACCCGTTGGGGGAACTAAATTGGAGGAGCTTCGAGGGAGTCGGTTGAGGAATGTAAAGGGAACGGTTGAAGTGGTGAGTAACCTAAGCTACTAGAGCTAACTTATCGTGACGTAGGTGTCGCAGCGTGATGGCGGCTGGCCCAATGAAGCATGGCGAGTCGCATCACTGTGAATGGCGGGGGAGGGGCCTGAAATCACGTCTTATCGATAAAGTTGGTGTGACCATCGTATTGCTGACTGATCCGTTGTCTCGACTCGACCATCGAACCTCTCTTTCGTGAGTTATTCACAGGTATCTTGGCAATTAGAAAGCCTCTACTGCTCAAATACACTCGAGACGAGAGTCAATTCTGTACATAAATTTGGGCCATTTGAAGTTCTGCTTCTGATGGCGGCAAAGCTGCGGCTTTGATAAATATATCATGACCAACCGTTGGCAACGCACGTGGAGAGCATTAGATCTATCAAAACAGATGTGAAAAGAATTGCCTGCGCCCGCTTCAATGTATAAACTTCCTCTGATCACGATTCAATCGGGCGAGGACAAGCGATTGAATGGATGGCAAGCTGTCAAAAAAAAAAAAAAAAAAAAAAAGTGCCGACAAACGTGTTCATGAAACCAATAACGCGGTTTAAGTTTCGAGTGAGATGCTACTACATACAACGTAGCTGTTTGTAGCATCCTGGCGCAGTGACGTTTGAGTTCACCTAATGAGGCAAACGGGTGGTGTTTGCCCCTTCAACCATCCCATCGAATTCGTATTCGTTTCAATGGGTTCTTAGATAATGACAGCTGTGAAGGTGCTCCAATGCTCGATAGCCTCATGGACTCCATTTCAGTAGCTGCAAGTCAACTGAGCCAAATCATATCTAGCAAACATGGCCCTCAATTACGGATCTATTGTGTTGTACATTGTTGAGATCACGATTACATATGTTTGCCTTTTGAACGCCCACGTTTAAGGAAGCTCTCACACTGACCAGGTGTTATAGTACTTTTTACTCGGCATCTACAATGTCTACTTCCACCCGCTTCGACACTACCCAGGACCATTCCTGTGGCGCTTCAGTCCGGTGCCGAAGAACATCTACCTCCTGACAGGCAGATACGCCGTCAAAGCTCGCGAAATCCACGAGACCTACTCTGGCGCCGTTCGCGTAGCTCCCAACGAGTTATCCTACATTCAACGTACAGTCACCGCACCTCACCTCATCTTTTCCTCCCCCTCCCGATGATTCACTCCGGATCAACAGTTCACAATACTAACACGCATAAACAGCACAAGCATGGAAAGACATCCTAGGCCGCCCGCTCAAATCCGAAATGGCAAAAGACATACGCTTCTTCGGCGGCGAGAATTTCGGCCGCGACAGCCTCGTTACGACGAGACCGCAAGACCACACCCGCCAGCGCCGCATCTTCACGCACGCCTTTTCCAACACGGCGCTCAAGGCGCAGGAGTCCTTGCTGGTGGACTACGCCGACCAGATGGTCGAGGCGATGGGCTCGCTCGCCCAGCGTGAGCGTCAGCGCCGGCGAGCGCACGACGGCGAGGGTGAGGATGAAGCATTCGGATCCGTCAACATTGTAGATTTGTACAACTTTGCCACATTCGATATCATGGCGGACCTGACCCTTGGCGAACCGCTTCTGCTTCTCAAGAGGGGCGATTACACGCCCTGGGTGCGCAACGTCTTTGCGGGTCTCAAGTTTGTCATCTACGGGCTCGTCTTCCTTGAGATTCCGGTCCTGGGACCGCTTGTTCAGGCGGTTACGTCTGCGCCGCTGAAGAAGAAGGCGCAGGAGCATACCGACTTTGCGGGCCAGCTCGTCGATCGGCGGTTGGGGGAGAGACAAGCGCATCCGAAGCCTGATATTTGGAGTTTTGTACTCAAGCACAACGACGGCGACAGCAGCGGCAATGATAGAACAAAGGGTATGGAGAAAGGTCTATCGAATAAGGAAATGCACGCCAACGCGGCCATGTTCATGGTCGCCGGGACGGAGACGTCGGGGACGGTGTTGTCCGGCACGACGTACTACCTGCTGCGGAACCCGCGGGTATACGATATTTTGACGAGGGAGATCCGGGCCGCGTTTGCGAGGACGGAGGATATTTGCGTCGACGGGCTTGTGCGGTTAGAGTATTTGACCGCGGTGCTGATGGAGGGGTTGAGGTTGTATAACCCCGGCGGGGCGGGGATGCCGAGGATCGTGCCGCGGGGAGGGGCGGAGGTTTGTGGGGAGTATATTCCGGAGGGCGTACGTTCTGGACCCTTGTTTCTTCCTTTATATCTTCCCCCGTTGCATAGTTACGTGATGAAGATAATGCTGCTTGGTGAGCTGGAAAGTTTAAGTGGAAGCTTACAGTGAGATGGCAGACTCTAGTATCCGTCAACCCCTACTCGGCCTTCACGAACCCGGAGAACTGGGCCCGGCCGAACGCGTTCGTCCCGGAGCGGTGGATCCATATGGATGCGCCGGAGTGGAAGGGTGACAAGAGGGACGTACACGAGCCGTTTTCGTATGGGCCGAGGAACTGTCTGGGCAAAAAGTGAGTTACCACCGACTACTAGCACCCTACTTTTGCCACTTGTGTATCTTGTCCTTCCGTTTGCTGACGAAGAACCTTTTTGTGCTTTGGTCTAGTCTTGCGTGGCTGGAGTTGCGTCTGCTGCTGGCTAAGACGCTGTGGCACTATGATCTGGCGCTCTGCCCCGGTATGGAGTCGTGGGTTGTGCAGAGGAATTATATCACGTGGGAGAAGGGGCCGCTGGTGGTGAAGCTGAAGCCTGTTCAGAGGGATGGATGAGAGATGTGCTGTTCTCATCGTGTAGGAGGTGACGGTAGAACACGGTATGGATTATCTTGTTTTATTTATCAAGGGTATACATTTACCAAAGCCTGAGTTGAAATATGAAAGATGCTTTCGAAAACCGATACATCATATGGCGATACACCAAGCGCCTAACGTCAAAAGTAAAAACTGTGACCAAAAAAGCACAGAGTCTGCTAGCGATGGAAACTCGTTATTTACATCATATATTTCGGTGAGATTCTGAGTCACAGATTCCCCCAATAATGTGTTATATTGCCTAATGAGAAAGTATGTACAATGAATGGAAAACTACCCCATCATGGTTCTGTAATTCTGTCGATTCAGTAAACTCCAATGGCTTCACCGACAACGCTCTTGAACATTCCGTTCGGGTCAAACTTCTCTCTGACGGCCTTGAAACGGGCAATGTGCTACAATCCCTTGTCAGCAAACCATCACTTCTACATCGAACGGCGTGGCACCAGAACTTACATCGGGGTCGATGTTCTTCGCGGCCTGGGCAAAGACCTCGCGGGTATTCTTGGTCCAGTGAGGGCGGCAGGGGAACTCGTCAATGAGGACCTTGGCCAAGTTGTGATCTAGCAACAAAGACAAGTCAGTTTATATCCCACCTTCATCGAGAAGCGGTGGTGCATTGAGCACCTCGCCGGGAAATTCACTCACAGAAAGGCTCGTTGAACCTGCTGTGGTCGCCAACAGTCGGTCTGAACGTCGGGAAATCAAGCATAATCACCCCCTTACTCCAATCCGCCCCGTCAGCAGTCCCATACGTAACCTGCCCCAGCAGATCAAAGTACGGCCTGCCAAACTTGATGTTAATCCCGCTCCGGTACGTCGACGTCATGACGATCAACTTCTTCGCCTCATCATCGAACAACGCCCTCACGCGCTTCAACATGGCATTCGCCTGCGTGATCGGGAACGCCAGCTCGAGCGTGTACCCCTGGACCCCGACCTCCCACAGCGGCCTCTGGTCCGGGTACAGCCCGCCGATGAGCACGTCGTAGTTCCAGCCGTAGACGGGCCACTCCTCGATGGGTTGGTTCGTCGTCTTTTCGCGGAAATTGGGCTTCGACCAGAGGCCGAAGAAGATTTCTTCGGCGAGCATGTTGGAGGTCGGGAGGTAGCGGCCGCTGTCGAGGAGGGTGCGGGCCGTAGTGCCCTCGAGGTCGGTGACGGAGAAGGTGTTTTGGAAGCCTTGCTGGTCCGAGGTGTTTGTGGGGACGACGTCGTAGTAGCGGTGGTGGAATTTGCGCTTGTAGGGCCACCACTGCGTGGGGTTATTAGTCCATGGGGGATTCCTTAGGGGAAGGGAGTGTGAAGTAAACGTACCCAGAAGTTTGCTGTTGCGTAAGGCGCAATCATGCCGTAGATGTCGCCGTCTAGAACCTCGCTTTCTTCGAGCCTTTTCTCTCATCGTTAGCTTAGTCAAGCTACACCAGCTTCATGACGAACTCACGTCTTCTGCTGAGCATAAACCTTGAAGTCGGGGTAGATCTTAAACTTCATCCGCACAATGACACCCAACAACCCAAGAGAAGTCGACGCAGCCAGCCACGTATCGTCATTATTGTCTCTCACAAGGTGCCTCAACTCCCCATTCCCATCAATAATATCCAACTCCAGCACGCCCGCCGCAACCATGGAATCCTCACGAATCGAGGACCGATGCGCTCCCATAGCAACACAACCCGCCAGCGTGATGTTCCAATTCACAAGCGTGTATCCCGCCGATGCGCCACGGGCATGGAGGTACTCGGCAAGCTGCAAGAACGTCACGCCGGCCTCGATGACTACGCTTCCGCCCTCGAGATCAAACTCGGAGATGCCGTTGACGTCCTCGGTGCGGATGATGACCGTGTTGGCGTCGTCGGAGCACATTGTGTCGTACCACATATGGCCCTTACCCGAGGCGCGGACCTTCTGGCCCGAGGCGATGGCGTCCTTGACGAGGGATTGGATGTCGGATACGCTGGTTGCGTTGTGGACTGCGGCAACGTCGTTGCAGGCGGGGAAGCCTGGGCCGTCAAAGGTGTTGTAGGGGGCTGCGGTGACGGCGGTCGATACGAGCAGCATCGCCAGGAGGGGGAGGGGGCGTAGAGACGGCATCGTCGTCAGGGGACCTTGATCGGCCCGTGTTGGAGGCAAGGAATAAGAGAGCACAAGCTTCTGGTACTTGGCAAGGGGTACGAGAGACTATGAACTTGCTCGTGAGATGGGATGAACCTGTCGTTTACTTATAACAACAACCTCTTCATCACTCTCTACACTGTTACATCTACATATGGAATGATAGACTGCACACCCAAACTCTCCATCAGAACAAATGCCGCGGACCTCGAACAAGCTTTCATGTGATGCCGGGAAAGAGTCACTTCTCTCAATGAAAAACCTGGTTCAACGGCAGGTCCAACGTCACCTAGGACACCCAGATCACCAGGCCAGGAACATAGAGTTGTATCGCAGTTACACCACATCGATGGGGAAGCTTCTCGCGTACCATATCAGGAAGTAGGAACATCAAAAGAAGGGAAGCCAAGACGGTGACAGATCCCGATCAGAGACATGGCCCGATATGTAATGTAACCCAATGGGCCCGTTGGGGTACCGGGAGGTAACAGCAGAGAACGCGGGGAAGGCTCGGAATAGCGACGGTAGAGACGGAGATCTTCATTTCTCCTCGTCTGCGCATGTCCGTGTGATGCGCAGGGAAGAGAGTGTGCGGGGTGACAGCGGCACAGCGGATGCGACGCCGCGAAGGGAGGGGACCTGCCAAGGGGAAGTTGAAGAGGAGGTGCTGGCCTTGGGCAAGGCCAGCGATCAAGTATTCTGTCATCATCGTCTGATAGACTAGTAGATCTGGAGTCAGCTTTGGCTTTTTATGCATATAGTCTGGCATCTGACGGCTAGTACAGTTGAGTAGTGATGTGCAAGGGGCAGGATGGAGGGTGTGGTTGGTGATTGGTGGGCTGACCGTCTCGTCCGGACGGACTGACCTGCTCGGAGCGGGGAAGTCGGATCGGAGAAGCGGGGCAGTCACCGGCCGAATCACTACCCGTGAGGCAAAACAAACTGGGCACCAAATGTACCACAGAGGCAATTCCCATTCTAGTACTGTATCTCGATACCAACTGGAAGGCTTGATTCCAGCATTCGAAGCCAACCTGGTAGCTATTTCGAGATTGGGGCAAGGAATAAGGCTGGCCCTCCCACTGATGTAGCTCTTACATGCAATTAAAAGCTTCATGAAGCGCAAAGGAATATAAATGACGCAGTAGAAACCCAAGAACAGCCAAGCAATAGATGAACCTAGCATGACGGTTCATTTATGGTCAGGTATACCCCAAGCCGCCTTAATGACATCTCTTCCCTCCTGCTTAAGGTCGCCATGGAGATATGAATGTTTACCTAAATCCATTCTATTGGGCCATTCCAAGACGAAATTGGTCGTCCTTTGACAGGCTAGGTGGACCATTTCTGCTGATGCATTCTTGTACAGAGCAAGGACACCAAACCTGGTGAAATAGTCAACGTTCACCGACATATAGTTAGATTCCACATCATAGACTTCACCATCTTTCTATACTCCTTTGTATCCTCAAAGTATAGTCAATAGAATACCCTGGCGCTAGCAAAGAACACAATATGCTTATAACCTTAACCTGTGAGCGAGTTCAAGCACCATCAATCCAGAAATCAAGGAGCATAACTTGAACGCCAGTGCGTGCTTCTCAGATTTCGCAAAGAAAGCCAATGTTGGTAAAGATTGTTCACATTTCGTCTCTAGCCTCGGCTTATATAGTAGGCATACTAAGTTCCGCCGCCGAAATTTACATTACAAAGAGGTACACTGACACACACTCCCACCTGCCCGAGGACGTCATCCTAGTAGACAACTTCGTCCTCACTATCTTGATATGTATATAAAGCCAGCAACTCCATTATTCCAGGATCAAGACCTAGGTAAACGCGTATCGATAATGTGACCGACGACGTGCACTACGCCTCGCCAGATTATCCCTTTGCCGTACTATTCGTCAAGGCCGCGTGGTTCCAGATTTGTCCTTTACTTACTTGCCCACATCGCAATACGATGTCAAGTACAACTATACGAATATCTTCTATCACCGGAATCTCCCAAAAGCAACCGCTTCGCAAAGACTAAAGTTCATAGAGGAGGCGGGAACACCCCACAACCAAATGAACAAACCCGCCACAGAAAGATCACAAATCCATTCGTCAGTGAGGGCGGTATGAGGGAGGAGCAAACAAACACCACCTTCTTTTACAAGAGAGAGCCTCTTCAAGACGGCAGGCAATGAAGCAACTTTTGAACTCAAATACTTTCTTCGCTTTGTATTGGAGTCCCGCGGTACGATGTGTTCCTACGTAAAGACTCACGACACTTGAACTTTACAAAATCGGCCACCTATTCATCCTTCTGCACTCCATTCTAGTTTCGGCGTAGGGATTTTGAATAGAATACTCCAAAACTAGCAATGAGCACTTCAATACAGAGAACAGAACGACCAGATTCTCTCTCCCAAAAGCCCTTATCTGACATATTCTGTGAGTGACCTTTCGCCCCCTCTATGACCAAGAACAAAGACACATTCAGTCCAAGAGGACATCAGATGAGATATGGCTGTTTTGCCAAACCAAAACTTCGCAGTTCAGATATGTTTATATACCTTCTTGTTCCAGCTGTGAGAAAAACGCTACCTACTTTCCCCAACAGGACATCAAGTCCTGCATGCTCGACCATGTACAGTTCTCAACAGAGTGGCATCTTCAGAAACATTGATACCTAAGAATCCAAACCACGCGCAGTGAACCACGCAACATCACATGCCGCACCCCTCTGATAATTGACGTACACCAGAACAACAACTGACGCGGCATTCCCTAAACTTTTACGACCGAACCATGGACCTCGGCAACCCAGAGGAAAATGGTTGATTTGGAGTACCTTCGTCGAGACATTTTCATGCCCCGTGGATTCGGATGGTGTCAATACGTTCCCGAGATGCAACACTGGCGGGGAACTCATCACCGTGGTGACAACATCTCAAAAACAAGATAATAGAACAAGGTATGACGCAGAGAACAGCCTTGTAGGAAATGAATACTAGAATGTACTCATTGGCTTATACGTGGCAGTTACACAAAGATTGGAAGTGGACAGCGGCATGATCAAATATTTGGGTCCTAAATCATCTATTCTCCTAAACCAAGTCCGACAAAAGAAGACAAAATAAACTACAAAACATCTCCTACATTACCCAGTGATACAGTTCGTACAAGTCGTAACTGTTCTCTTTCCCCCATGCTAGTTAGAAACAAATTTCACACAAATCCCATAAGCTGCGGGAGAACTCCCTAGTCTATATGTGAACCGTACATGTATCTTATGCCAATGACTTCGTGATTTGATGCTGGAAAAGTCACGCTCAGACGGTAGCCGTGGGCAAGGCAGGGAGCAGCGACGTCTGTCCGATGAACCAAGATCGGGTGACGACGTAGCAAACCTCGCCACCAGGCAGAGGAGCGCCAGCCGTGTACAGACCGGGGGGCAGAGTGAGGGTTCCTGCAATGTTGGGGCCAGTGCTGGTGGGAACCGGCGCACCAGTGATGGTGGTACCAGGCTCGGTGATGGTGTTGACGACGGTGACGGACGCGGTGGTACCGGCGCCGGTGCTGACGCTGATGCTGGTGACGGTGGAGACAACCGGTGGGGAGACGTCAAGACGGACGTAGACGGTAAGACGGACATCAGTCGGGATCTGGCGACGGGCCAGACGGACGGAAGAGGCGCGACCACCGCAGCGTTGGAGAGGGTTACCGGGGCAGATAGTGTTGCACTGGGCCTCGGGAACGAGGATGGTGAGAGTGTTGTCGATGATGTCACCACAATAGCAGTCGGTACCAAACAAACCAGCAAGTCTGGAGCTGGCGGGGCAGGCAGCGGTACACTTCTCGAGGGTCAACAACGGGTCAGACAATGCCAGAACAAAGGAGGGGAAGTTGCTGGACGAGGCGAAGCATCCCAAGAGAGAGAAGCCATCAACAGCGACAGGGTTGGGAGCAATGCTGGAGGTGGCTGCGGCAGCGGTGCTGTCGGTCGTCGCGCCGCCGGCAGGACCAGTGGTAGGGCTGACGATGGTAGATCCACCAGTGACAACGGTAGAACCTCCGGTAACGAAGGTAGAGCCGCCGGAAACGAACGTGGAGCTGCCCGAGACGATGGTAGAGCCACCAGAGACAACAGTTGAACCGCCAGTGACGAAGGTCGAGCCACCGCTGACAAAGGTAGAGCCACCGGCAGGAGCGGTAGTGGAACCAGCGGGCGTAGTCGTGCCGCTTCCAGAGCGGGTGGTGGTAAGGCTGGAGGAAGCGGTCGATCCAGGGTTGGCGGTAGTGGTAGAAGCACCGGCGGGAGTGGTTGTGGCAGAGTTGGTAGCGGCGGTGGAGGCGGGGAGGCTGGTAGTGCTACCGCTGGCCGTGCAGGAAGAACCTAGTAGAGAGTGTTAAAAGCAAGATCGTCAGGCGTGTGCGACTTGACTTACGAGGAGTAGCGCTCAGGGTGACCGGAGTACAGTTGGGCGGGACGGTGGTTCCGAAGGTAGCGTAAACTTGACCGCTGTTGTCCTGGCAGAAGCCGGCCTGTCCCCCAGAGAAGGCTGAGTTGGACCATACGAAGACGCCGTTGTTAAGGGTGAAAGTCGCGGTGATCGATCCGGTGCTGCCGGAGCGCAGAGCAATGAAAGGCGTGTTGGGGTTGACACTGAGGGCGACGCCATCAACAGTAAGGGTGCCAGAAGCGCCGATTCTGAATACAGCAGCCTGGTTGCAGTTGGTAGGGTTGGTCTGACCAGTGGTACCGACGTAGGTGGTTCCGCCGCTCTGGCGGTTCATGAGGTGCGCCATGATAGGGCCACGCTTCTTCATGGTAAGGGCAGTGGTGGAGTTCGAGAACGGTGCGCTAGTAGAGCTGCTGGTGGAAGCAGAGCTGGTAATGGACAAGCTGGTAGAAGTATCCGTAGTGCTAGCAGAGGTGGTTGATCCAGAGGAGCTGGAGCTGGACCCAGTAGAGGTAGATCCAGAAGAGGTGCTGCCCGAGGAGGAGCTGCCAGAAGAGCTGCTGCTAGAAGTACCAGAGGAGCTTGAGCCGGTGGAGCTGCTGCTGCCGCTGCTGCTACTGCTGCGAGTAGAAGAGCTTGAGGACGATGTGGCAGTGCTGGAAGAGCTTGAGGAGCTGGTAGGTGCTCTTCCGCCGACAATGGCGAGGATGAAGTCGGTCGCAGAAGCCGCGGCGGCGCTGGTGACAGAGCTGGAAGCAGAGTTGGACGCGGAGTTGGAGGCAGAGTTGGAGGCAGAGACCGTTCCAGAGGTCGTGCCGGAGACCGTACCAGTGGAAGTTCCGGAAGAGGCGGTGGAGCTGGCGCTGGCGACGGACGTTCCAGTGTTGGTAGGGACGAACTGGATGTTCGTGTCAGTGTTGACCACGGCAGAGGGAACGCTGGATGAGCTCAAAGTAGTCGAGGCAGCAGCAAGGGCAACCTGGCTGGCAGGTGTCACACTGAGGATCGTGGCGGGATCAACAGTACCAGCCTGGCGTCTGAGGGCGCTGCGACGACGGCTGCTCGCAGCGGCAGCGCATTGATCAGCAGGAATGAGAGGCAAAGTTCTGAGAACAGAACCGCAGAAGCATTGGCCTCTAATGACAGTAGTGTAGGGCAGGGACTGGGAAGCGCAAGCAACCGCGCAGGCAGGGGCGGTAGAAGCATCGGGAGGGTTGACAGTGTTCTCGAAGGGCGACTCTCCAGCGGGAACACCTCTGCATCCCTGTGACTGGACAACAAACCTCTCCGCGTTACCGCTCGTGTTGGGAATGTCAACGACAACAGCTTCGCCGGGCTGGATCTCGAGAGCCTTCGAGAAAGGCACCGGATCAGGGCTGAGGACAGCGATGGAAGACTGGCCAGGCTCAGCCGCAGATGTGGTTGGGGCAGCTGATGAAGCAGGGGCATCCGACGAGGAAGGAGCAGCAGTCGAGGACTGAGCAGGTGCCGAAGAACTGGCAGGCGCAGCGGAAGAGCTAGCAGCGGCAGCAGAGGACGAGCTGGCGGCGGCAGCAGATGAAGAGCTGGCGGCGGCAGCAGACGAAGAGCTAGCAGGGGCCGACGAAGAGCTAGCGGCAGCGGCAGAAGAGGAGCTGGCAGCAGCAACGGAGGACGAAGAGCTAGCGGCAGCGGCAGAAGAGGAGCTGGCAGCAGCAACGGAGGACGAAGAGCTGGCGGCAGCAACGGAGGAGGACGAGCTGGCGGCGGCAACGGAGGAGGACGAGCTGGCGGCGGCAACGGAGGAGGACGAGCTGGCGGCGGCAACGGATGAAGATGAGCTGGCGGCAGCCACGGAAGACGAAGAGCTGGCGACAGAGGCAACCGAGGAGGATGAGCTGGCAGCAGCAACGGAAGATGACGAGCTTGAAGCAGCAACGGAAGACGAAGAGCTGGCGGCAGCAGTGGTCGACGTGCTAGAACCAGCAGCAGTGGTAGAAGCGGAGCTCGAGGTGCCGGCAGCAGAGGTCGACAAAGACGACGACAAGCTGCTGGAAGAGCCGCTGGTGCTCAGCGTACCAGAGGCGGAGCTCGTTCCAGTCGAGGAAGAAGTTGCGGCAGTGGTGCTTGTCGAGGAGTGACTGGAGGTATCGCTCTGGGAGCTGCTCGAGCTGGAAGAAGCAGATGAGCCAGTGGAGGTGGTGCTTCCGCTGCTAGTAGGCGAGGTAGTCGTAGTCGACAAACTGCTGGAGCCGCTGGAGCTGCTGGAGCTGCTGGATGAGGATGTAGTAGTTGAGTTGGACGAGGCGCTAGCAGTGGAAGTGATGCTCGTGGTGGTCGAGTGGCTCGAGGTGCCAGTGCTGGAGCTGCTAGAGGACGAAGAGGTTGTCGACGTCGGGCTAGTAGTGGTTCCAGTGCTGCTGGAGCTGCTTGACGACGTTGTCGTGGTCGTGCCACTGCTAGTAGAAGACGTCGAAGTCGTAGAGGTCGACGTGGGGCTAGTAGTAGTGGTAGTCGTCGTCGAGGACGAAGACGAGGAGGAGGATGAAGACGACGAAGAGGAGGAAGTGGTAGTGGTAGTGGTAGTGGTGGTCAGGCTGGTAGAGGAGGAAGAGCTGGAAGAGGTAGATGTGGTTGAGGTGGTGGTGGTGGTGCTGGCGACTACGTTGAAGTGGATTTCACCATTCGTACCACCGCAGTTCTCAGTTGAAGTGCTATCACCAGGGCAGAGCGTGTTACAGTTGCTATCCGAGGTAGTTGCGACCGAAGGGGTGCCACCACAGCCACAGGTGAACACGTTGGCGGCCGACTCGTAGATACCGAACACGGTGTAACCCTGGCAGAAGGTGTTACACTTTTCCTGTGTCATCTGCGAGATGACCGAGGTCGTGGCGGTTTGCGTTCCTGGAGGGAAACAATTGCCGTTGGCGGGGGTGATCGCGGCGTGACCGACACCGGCCAGGGACAGCGCGGCCAAAACGGCCGCCTGCTTCATCCAACCCATCTTGTCCGGAGTCTTTGAAGGACGACTGAAAAACTATAGCGAGCCACAAAAGGCAAAAGTTGAGACTGGAGGTGGAGAGGGGGAGTATTAAGACGAAAGGGATGTCAGCCCCTCTAGAGAGTGACAGGCGCAAGCAAGAACCAAGCAACAAGAACGAATGACTGCCCAACTTGCCCCCGGAAGAAGAACCAGGTTGAGACGGACGAAAAGGAGAAGCGAGTGTGAGTCGAAGCGCGGTGGAGAGAAGGAGGAAAACCGATAATCTGGGAGGAGAATCTTGGCTGTATTTGAAAGCTTCTCGTCGTGAGGACCAAGAATGCTGTTCCTGTCGCCTCTTGCCCACTTCCATCGATATGAGCGGCATTGGATGTCCCACCTCCCTTCCCACCTTAGGGCTGCCGGGTGAGAGAGAGAGTGAGAGAGTGAGAGCATGGGCTCGTTCCCAGGAACCTGGAATGTTTGAAATGACGATTCTCAGGTCCAGCCGTATGCGATGCTTTTCCCCTGAACGCCAGTCATTCCTCTCATGCAATACGGGTCGACGTATGTGGGTGTCTGGCCTGGCTTGCCTCTTGGACGGCCGCCCCTCACACTCCTGAGTCGAAATGGAAGAGAGAGGCGAAAGGGCGAAGAGGCGTTGGCGAGCAATGGGACTCTGGAGCCAGGAAACCGGATGGTCTGGCGATGTCTCGCAAGAGCCGTGGCCACTTTTCACATTTCCATTCATCATTCTTCCCTCATGGCCGTAGCGGGGACTATCTCCTGCGGCTGAATTCGGACAATTTAACGGGGGCCGCTTGTTGCAATGCTGCGAAGCACGTTTTCGAGAACGGCGATGACCTCTCTTGGTGTAGTCTATTGCCCCCGCCCTGTTAGCAGAAATTGTCGTTGGTGTGGAAGCTAGGATGTGTGGGAGGACTAAGGGAATGCCGGCCGACCGCCATACTTTCCTCTACGTTCTTGTGCAACGGCGACAAGAAACACTGGAGCGCGAGACGAGAAGCTTGGCTGTGTAACGCGCGGAATGTAGAGGGGGAAACAAGCCGTCGTTGATCGAGGGACGGAGGAGGCATAGCGGTCTTTACGGTGGATGCGTTACGTGCCCACACAGTTTGCCGTGGGCCAACGGAGCAGATAACCCGTCGGTGAATGTATGTACGTATTTGTATGCCTATGTATAGTGTGAGCATAGCTATGCTTGCCTCGAGAAAAGAGAAACCAATGTCTCGTGAGAATATTGAGCAGAGAAGTCTTGCGAGGACAAGACCCTTCAGCACGGCATCCATATTCGACGATAGTGGTTGTCCCTGTGCAACCAACGGCTCCCAAGTCCCCGGGTCAAAAACACTTGTACGACAGGGCGTCAAGACAAGGGTTGTGACCGAAGATGGGGGGATATCCGTGGTCACACAAACATGTGGCCATGTCGTGCAGACTCAGAGCGGGTGAAGTGGAGGCCGGGACACGTGAAAAGAAACCTGCAAGACGCAAGCAGAGACGGCAGAAAAGAAGAGAACGGAACGGACGGGATACTCCGCCGGCATACCATGAGTCGAGGAATTCCAGACTCCTGGAAACTGGTTGTCCAAGGAAATGCAAGGCGTCGTGATATTGGAATGTGGAGTGACGGTGTTGGGTGGCGACGAGTTGAGGGATATGCGAGAGGCGCCGACAACTGGTGGCTCTTGGTGGGAGTTGAGAACTTGGAGCATTTTAGCCTCTTCCCGTTTAAGGCCAAGAGGGAAAGAAAGGGTCCAATGGCACCTTTTCGCCTTTGCAAGGAGCGGAAGGAATACATGCCTCGTCTTCTCCCTGCATAAGCCACGTTGCTTCGGCGTTGCTTCTTCCTCCTTGGTTGGAAACACCTTCTCCCTCGCCTTATCACTCTACCTACCTGAGATATTCAGACTAAGGTATCGTTAGCCTCTACACGCAAATGTCACCGCCAAGACATGATAACACTGACTTGACTGACCATCTTTCCCTTTCCCTCCTCTCCCCTCCTCTCCCCTCCATCCTGTGCCATCCAAGTTCCTAGGCTGAAAGTCAACTGCCGTCCATGCATGCTGTTCTTCCACGGGCTCGTTCACTCACATCGATGATGCATAAGAGCTCCATGTTGCCCACGCCCCTCAATGCCAAAGTTTGATTGCAAACGATCACAGACTTCAAGAGGAACTTGATACCGGGTATCCTAGTGCCTCTCCAGCCATGCAGATGGCGTTGCGGATCGTCGACTCTCATCTGCCGTTCTGGGAAACCTTTGTGCCACCCTCAATTCCGTGCCAGACCCTGTTGATGACCGCCAATTTCGAAACCGAGCAAGGGAGAAGGCGCCCGTTATTGTACTACGTATGCTACGACATCCAGACGTTTCAACTGATTCTGTCAGTATCAGTCAGCAACGGCTCACGGCGATAATCTCAGTCAATATGATGCTTTGCCAGGTCTGAAATGGGCGCCTGGCACAGGACGGATGCACTGGTACACCCAGGCCTCAATGGACAACATCCTGCTTGTCTTGAGTAACCATTTCTTCTAGCCCCAGAGGCAATACAATCCCAAACGTGAATCCCGTGATAAGACGTCGACAGGTATAGTCCTAATTCCCACAAATACCTTCTCCCACGAACTAGAGGGAAAGCATCGCCTATCCTTCCTCCTCGCTACAGAGCGATTTCGTGCCGCATCCGTCCTCCCCAATTTCGCAGCATTCCTCCCAAAGCTTCCTGATAACTGCCGCTCCTTGCGTGCCTCAAACCCGCCATGTGGGCTGTGGCCGTACCCACCTGCTTGCCGGGCGGAGCGAACCCTCAACGGATCACGCAAGCCGTGGTTCTTGCGTGCTTGCATGCTTGCGTACATGCGTAGAGACGTCGATCAGCCCTCAAATTCAACGACACCCTTGGCATTCGTCTCGCTCCGGTTTGTAGGCTCAATGTCCACGAGCTGTCCTTCCTTGCCGCTACCGTTGGCCCCAGCCTCGGCGTCTGCCCCGTCGAGAAGGTCACGGTCTTCGCTCCGTACACTCCGTCTCTCAATGTCCGCGCTTCCGCTGGCCGTGCCTTTCCTGATGCCGATTTCGACTCCAATGTCCGCATCGTCCTCTTCGTCTTCGACATCTCTTTGTTGCCCAGGCACGGCGTTCTTCTCCAGCTCCTTCTGAGCCTCCTCCATCCTCCGACGAACTTCTGCAGCCACACGCATTCCGTCCGTGACGATGTTGTCTAGTACACCGCGTAGACCACGGGTGGCCCCTTGAGCCGCAGGATTGAGAGCTGCGACGGGTGCACGTCCAAAGTTGAGACTGGAAAAGGTAGTAAGGGTTGATGTGGGTGTTGACACTGTTGGTAGACCCTCGATAAGGTGGAAAGAGGTCGGGAAAGATGACTCAAAGAATTGCTCAAGAAGTTCATCGGCGAGAACGACCATGCGGAACGTTGGCAGCGTCATGTGCAACGGGTTCGCAGGGTCCAAAGCAGCATTTGCCGCTTCTGACTGCGCCTTTGAGACACGTCGTTGTGACTGCCCTGCGGCAGGAGGCTTCTCTCCAGGAGGCGAGGATAGTGAGTCCGAGGACGACTTCTTTGCTTTGCTTGGGCTACCAGGAGGCGAATCCATGGCAAGTAGATCTTCTTCATCATCGTCGTCGCCGATGGCGAATGCCCCACTGTTCTCCGTAGATTTGGGCTCTTCCATTTCTTCTTCGTGGATTTTGTTGTTGGGGTGGTCGGGATCGGCATATTCGAAGCATCTTCTAATGAATGCGCTGACGCTGCCCAAGAACCTTTCGTTGGTTGAGATACCAGGCAGGCTTGGCTCACTGCCTTGGCCAGTCGGCGTGCTGAGCGTGAGCGTAGAGGCACTCGGGCTCAGTGTGCCCTCGAGTCCTCTTCTTGAGAGGAAGAGGAGCGCTTCGGAAATACGTAAGATGCCCTCACGGTCAACTTTACCATCGCCATCATCGTCGTAAAGCTCAAAGAAATACGTAATCGTTCCCATAATGTCCTTCTTGCCCTTGATCCTGGCGAAGCCCGACACTACATCAGCTAGTGTCAACACGCCGGCTCCGCTAACATCCCATTTTTTGAACAATTGCTGCATGAACTCGTGATCGGCAGGTTCTGGGCCCGACCCCCATGGGGAAAGGAGGCCGTTATTTTGACGACGGCTTGTGTAGGCATTTCTGTCCTTATCGGCGAATGTATCGCGGCGCGGCGTAGTGGGTGAGTCGGACATCGCCCACTTTGCCATGTTGGCGAGGAATTCTCTAAATGCATCGTAATCCATCAGACTGGTGCTAGCACCAAGGGCCACTCGCCCCTTTTCAACGTGTTCATCGCTGGGTTCAAACACATCTCGCGCTCTAGGCCGTGCGTTCTTTGCACGACGTTGTTTTTCCTGCTGAATAATGCTCTCTCGCTGTTGTCTCTCGTACAAGATTGTATAGAAGCGATCGTACAAGGCGCCCAGCTCCTCCGTGGCAAGGAGTTTGCTGTCGGGGCCCAAATTTCGGAGGGCTGTTCTCTTTGCGAAACTCTCAATGTTGCTCAGTACGGCATCCTTGTTCTTCAACCGCAGATCCGTAATACTGCTGTGGGTGATACCCGAGAATTCCTTGAATGCCACCACCATTAACTCTTGGAACTTGGTCACGGCGCGCAGCTTCGGGTTCTCCGACTTGGGGTGTGCCGACTCGTCGAGACGAGCAAAGTAACCCTTGAGGATGGAGATGAAGGCGCCGTCATCTGTGGCATCCAAAAGCTCCTCGCCGTTGATTCTCAAAATGGCGAGTCCTATTTGGAACAGAAC